GATAGGACTGCCTCGGTATGGAGAACTGCACGTGTGAAAATTCCCTCCCTGCACAAATGCACACTGTAGTGTAGGCAGTGGGTGGAGCATTTATGATGAATACCAGCATCATAATGGGTTGGATTGGTCCCGTTGCTGACCTGCTGTTTAAGCAACCATTTCAGACCATCTCCATTCTCAGGATGTGGAGCTGCAGAAGCAGCCAGAAGGGACCACAAAAACTCCTAAGACGGATTTATTTGATCCAGGATGGCTGAATGTCCATTCATTGAGGAGTAATTCCACAGGTATGAATAAGCCATTAGAAACCAGACCAAAAGGCACCTTTCGATTCCTGTTCAGCATTTCAAGGACAAAGCCATCTGTATCTCTCCCTGCAAGTCATTAGATCATGGGGGAGATGCACATGGTTATCGGCACATCTCTTGCCCCCTGGATCCTTTTGCATCCATCTTGAACTCTTGAACCATATCTGGCTTCTTCCAATCAGCCCTTTTTCAAGGACAGTGAGTTTTCCAAACAGGGTCACGGCCCCTTCTAGCTTCCCCAACCTGTGGGCTGCATTAAGCTTTTGCAGCAAACTTGGCTAAATTCTTGCGATACCATAACGAACTAATTTATGTTGGTATAAACTTTCATCGAGGGCCAGTGCCTATTTTGTCAGATGGAACGTTATCCAGAATTGGCAAACACAAACACACACACAGGAAGAAAACCAGTGTTAAAACCATGGGGTCTGGGACAGCACTTAGCACAACTGCCCTTCTCTTCTATTAACAGCTGCAGAATTAATAGAGAGGCTTTTGTTTATGCAGCAACGAAGTAGGTCTCTCTAGATTTCCCCGCTGCTGCTGCTGCTTTCCATATGATTCCACCCAGCCCCTTCAACTAATTATTATAAATGCAGCCACACACACGGGCAATGTTCACAGTTGCATAAAACCTAAGCTGGAGCCAAATGTGGAAACCTGCAACAATTATCACCGTTAGAGAAAAAGTACTGTCAGCAAACCTTGTTTAATGAATCAGGTAGATGAGTGGGAGAGAGTTTCACTCACTATTGTGTGATTGCTTTTTTTTATGCTGGTAAATAATGCCACAGCCTTTTCGCCATCCCGGCTTTTCCAAATATGTTGGGCCTACAATTCTCAGAATGTCATTGTTCTTGAAAAAGTTCAAACAGGCTGTACTGTACAGTGGGTAGAGACTAGCAGATCCACAGAACCGCAATCGTGCTATCCAGGAACTGGTTTGGTGATTGCGCGCTCTGCCCGCGTGCTCCACGTTTCAAACAGCTCTAATACTTACCTTCTACTAAAGTCCCTGTGAAGAAAACAGCTGAGGCGCAGTAAACTGCTCTCTGTGCGAATCAGCTGTGCTCTAAACAAAGGAAGGAAAGAGCAGGGGCAGGCGGATGGGCCCACATGCTCGTCATAGCGAACTGGTTTGGAGACAGCTGATCTTCGGAGCAAGGGTTTTGCTTGAATCAGTCCGAACTGGTAGAATCCCACCCCTGGTGCTATCTAAAAAGAAGGGATGGCCCCAGGGTTATGAAATTCACAACCTTCACAGCTCTCTTCATAGCCAAAACACTTCTCTCACCTATAGCTTTCTACAAACAAAAAACAAAAAACAATTGCCACAAAGCACAATGGGCCTAAACCAGGGGTGTCAAACTCGCGGCCCACAGACCGGATGCTTCACATGCTGGCCTCGCCTCTGTCAAGTTTAGCAAAGGGGGGGGAAGTCCTGATACATCACATGACGATGCCATGACGATGCAAGTTTGACACCCCTGGCCTAAACTAATCTCCCCCCCCCCAAAGAAACCTCTTTGATCATGATGATATGAGGTCTTATAACCATCTCAGAAGTACAGAGAAAGAATTAGATGGCGGGAGGGGGAGGTTTAATGAAATCCATGAGCCTCATCCTTGACTGATACATCAAGTTGCACACATCCTGTTTTAAGTAGCTAAGAGTATGACGTTAAATGTAAGTTTCTTTCTTTCTTTCTCTCTTTCCTTCTTATTTATTTTAATTTTTTTCTATAAGCCGTCCACTGTGAGTTGAGCAGCCTTATACATTTCCTAAGTAAATAAAGCACCGCTCTCTCTTCGTTTTTTCCCCCTCGTGATACCTTTTTGTTGAAATAAAAGTTCACCTCCTCTTGGTAAATATAGCCCATGAATCCTGTCATCACTCAACTGCCCTTTTTGAGTACACTGAAATGCTCAGCCTGCGCCCTTCCAAATGCTGCTGAACTACAGCTCCCACCATGTTTCATTATTGGCCCCGTTGTCTACAGCTGTTGGAAGGTGTAGTTCATCAACATCTGGAGATTTCCTCCAAAACAAAGAGGTTGTTGAAGGGTACAGAAAAATGACCGGAACTGGAGGTTGTACACAAATGACCAGTTCAACCTTCTTAAACTTCATATTGGTTTGAGGTTCGCCTACAATGGGTAAGCAAGATTGTTAAAGCAGAGGTGAGCAATTTGTGGCCACTGGGTTGCATGTAGTTCATTGAGTAATTTTTCTGTACTCTTCAACCCTAACTGGAGTGCAACAATAGTGCAAATGCTAAAACTGGCTGAACACTTCATAGCCAAAAGTAGAAATAAGGGAAAATAAGAGAAAAATTAGGGAAATAAGAGAAAATCCTTGCTTTGTTCCTATGGAACCCCACCCTGCCATTTTGCATCATTACTCCACCCACTGTAGCCTTTGTTTTCAGAAGCATGCACCAAAGAAATATAGTCTCCAGCCATCAAAAGGTTACTTTAGGACTAGCAGGGCATGTCCACCAAACAGCTTCCTATTAAAGGCACAAAACCATAGAATGCAATCTTGAGAATGTATGTTTTCTCTCTTGCTTGGGATTATCAAACTCTAGTATCTCAAGGATGTAAGTGTTATTTCTTACCAACAAAAGTTGCTGATTTATTTCATTTGAGTCAGAAGAAGACAAATTGTGTACCCTGATATGATAGGTTTTGTTGGATCTGGGAGATTCAGGCCGACTACAGAAACTCGCCGGATAATCTTGGGTCAGTCACTCTCCCTGGGTTATTGCGGTAATAACATTAGAAGAGGCCTTCCAACATGCTGCTTTAAGCTTTCAGGAAAAACAAAACCATATAAATGTAATAAATTAATAAAGCTACCATCAACATTGTCTGCAGTTCAGAGTGATGGTTGCTTTTTCAAGGATGTTTTAAAGAAATCAACCTATTGTGCTTCTTTACTTCTGAAACCACCTGAAAAACATGATCAGAGGGTTAGTTGTGTATATCTTAATAAAAGGTAAATGTTCCCCTTGCACATACGTGCTAGTCGTTTCTGGCTTTAGGGGGCGTTGGTCATCTCCGTTACAAAGCCGAAGAGCCAGCGCTGTCCGAAGACGTCTCCGTGGTCATGTGGCCAGCATGACTAAACGCCGAAGGCGCACGGAACGCTGTTAACTTCCCACCAAAGTGGCCCCATTTTTCTACTTGCATTTTTACATGCTTTCGAACTGCTAGGTTGGCAGAAGCTGGGACAAGTAACGGGAGCTCACTCCGTTACACGGGGCTAGGGATTCGAACCGCCAAACTGCCGACCTTTCTGATCGACAAGCTCAGCATCTTAGCCACTAGGTTTTGGAGAGATCTTGAACAAAAGATGCAGTTTTGTGCTACCTAAACGTAAGCGTAATGTTTTCAAGGGGTGTTTTTCTTGCAGGCGGGGTGTGTTTAAGATCGCAGTTTAAATGCACCCTGTTTCCAAACAGACCCATCTCCCGTTCATTCTGTTGCATCCCTAGGTTAGAAGGATGTGGAAAACCTGAATGGCTGCCAGTTATGAGAAACACAGGCGGATGAACCACAAATGGTTTGTCTCTCTGTAAGGAAACTTCTCATGTTTAAATGTCTGCAATGCAGCCAGAAAACTCAGCACATTTATTTGGGGGGGGGGGAGAGGGAGAATCCCTCACATTTTATTATGCTATAGCAATAGGTTTGAGGTTGGGAGTAAAGGTGGGTCTGATTTTTCTCTGCCCAAAGTTACAACTTCCTGGATGACAACTTTTCAGTCAATTGACAATTTAAATGTGGTGACTCTTAAGGGTGGAGTAAGACTGGAGAGGCTCAAGATATCTCTATCTTGCTTTTAAGGTTTAGGGGGAATTTTATACCTGGGAAGAAACTTCATTTGTTGAATTCAGTAGGATTTGTGTCCAGGTTGACTTGCATAGGGTTGCACACAGTAAAAGATTAAGTTGTTGGACAGATCAGTTACATGCAGTCCTCGACTTGCAACAGTTCATTTAGTGACCAAAGTTACAATGGCACTGAAAAAAATTGATTTATATTATGACTGTTTTTTCACGCGCCTGGAAGCTCAGCGGGCCGAGATTGTTAGCCAGTTCCAGACCATGATGTAGTCCCACTGAAACAAGGTCCTCCGGCTCTTTGCCACCAGCGGCCCTTTCCTCCAGCCTTCCCCCAAAGCCCCGCACTAGGAAGCTGAAGTAGACCCCAAGTTGGAATTTCTCTTCTCCTTCTCCTTCTCCTCCTGAACATAATTTCGTTTTTATGGTAACGCGGGGCAACCAATCACAACCCAAACCTTCGCCTTTGGCAGGGCGAGCGCTCGATTCCCTTTGCAGGAAGGAAAACCCCAACGTGACATCATCCGCAGCGCCCAGCCGAAGAACAAGAAGTTCAACACAAGTCTCAGACAGAGCAGTTCAAATCATTTTTGGTGGAAAATTCGTTGCTTTGCTTTCAACAAACCTCAACAAACCCCCCACCCCTCCTCTCCACCTCCTCCTCCTCTCGCCCCCCGCCCCCCCATATCGAAATATTCATCACGGCTCTCCTTGGCTCCTCTCCAAAATTCCCATCGCTGGCAGTTTAATGAGATCCATCCTGCCCCCCCCCCTCCGTGCGTACCGTCGAGGGGGAGGGCGAGAAACTCCTCCTTTTGTGAGTCATTCCCGGGGAAGAGAGAGAGAGAGAGAGAGAGAGAGGAAGGCAGGGAGTCTCCGCGGCACTCACGTTCCGAGCGGCTTGGAGGAAAGATTGGAGCCAGCGCTCTTCGCGACCCGGCTAAAAACGATGGTTTGGGACTCGGTGGCCTTCCGTGCATCCGGAGCCCCGTTTCTTCCCCCGAGCCCAGCCATGCTTGGTCGGGCTTTGCTCTTCCTTTTCAGCGGGCTGTGCGCTTGGGGTTTTAATCTGGACTCCAAGGCGCCGACGGTTTTGATCGGCCCCCCGGGCAGCTTTTTTGGCTTCTCAGTGGACTTTTACCTCCCGGAAGAACAGAGGTGGGTCCGATTTAGACGGCGGGACCCTAAGAGCGGGTGGTGGGGGGTGGTGGAGAGAGTTGAGGTGTTGGGGGCATTTGGCACTTCTACGAGGAAGGGGAGCCCGGCTGGGGTCCTATCAATCCCACCGCGTCAGCTCTCCTAACACCCCCCCCCCCACACACACACACCCCACCCCACCCCAGTAATTCAGGGATTTCTGAGTGGAAAGTTTAGTGGTCGTAACTGGTGAGGGAGGAGTGTGTGTGTGTGAGTGAGTGAGTGTGTTTGCATAGGGTGGCAAGGCACGCTTGAAGAGGTTGGACCCTTTTGGTAATAACACTTGGGACAATTCAGCCCGGGGCAATGAAATTTTGCATGGGCTTTTTTGCTTGAATTGGCTGCGAGAGCCGCGCTCTCCTTTCCAAATCACGCCCCCTTCTCCACTTGGCCTGGCCTGGCGCCCGCTCCCTCTTGCTTAGCCCCACTAAGTGATTGCAGACCCACCGTCCCTGCCTGGTGCGCGCTTCTTCCCAACCCGCTCCCGTTACTGGGGTCCCCACCCCGCCCGCTCCCCCCTTGGCGGCTCGCTTTTCCCCCCCCTTTCTTTTGTTTTGTTTTTCCCCTCACCTGAGGTGGGGGGGACGCGCGCGCCCCGGTCCAACTTTTCCCCCTCAGGGGAACCTGGCGGATTTTCCGTGCGTGTCCAGCACATCCCTGGGCCGCCGCCCCCCCTTCTTTCCCCTCTCCATTCGTTCTCGCCCCCAACAGGCTCGGAACCGAGCATTTCCTGTAACCGGAGCTCAGCCCCGCCGCTCTTGTTTCCAGGGGTGGAGGGGGGATGGGGGGGGGGAAGAGAAAGAAGGGGATCGGGCTTTTGGGCAGGGAGAGCCGGAGTGGGGCAGAAAACCCCGCGCCCTTCGTGGGGCCAGGTCTGTTAAAAAGAAAAAAAAAAGTTGCTATTTAGCCTGGAAGGGAGTGGTAAAAGGGAAAAAAAAGTGTGTGGGGGGGGGAGAGCTCTGACTTCCATTCCACCAGGTGTGTGTTTGGCCAAAGGATTTGGCAAATAGCCAGCCGGAAGCTTCCCCCTCCTCACATACAGCCCCAGGGAGGGAGGGGGGAATCCGGCAAGGGAACGGCTGCAGATGAGATGGGGTGAGGTGGGGGTTGTGGCCGTATATCCAGCCTCTCCTCCCTTTCCTTGGGATGCGTTAAACAAGATGCCTCATCCTGTTTGGGAACGTCCAACTTGTCTCCCTCTCTTTGTATAAGTCAGCAAAGCTGAAGGGGTCTGGCAGAAAGGCCTGCCGGATCGCCTTCCTCTTTAGCTGGGATGCTCGTGGCATCTTTGAGGATTGACTGTGTGGGCTCCCCACAGTCTCCATTTTGGGATGGTTTGCAAGAAAGAAAAGATGCTGATGAAGACTGCCGCCCGGTCCTAGGGATGGCTAGTTCTGCCTTTGCACGTGGTTTTTTTTTTTTTTTTTACACACTAACTGGGAAAGCTTATGAAAGACAGCTGGTATCTACCCAGCAAAGGGAAGGACATGGGGACAGTGTGTGTGTGTATAACACCCAGATCTCACCCATTTGCGGGATTGAAAGGCTGATATTGGGCAAATGGGTTGGGTGGTTGATAAGTGTGCTTATGGGTGCACACAAAGACACACACACACACCGCCACAATATCACAGGGAAGACATTAAAATAGATTTAATAGATCATCTTCTGGATTTAACTCTCCAAAAGACTGCATGGTTGCTGCCAAGCGAGTCCCTTAATTTATCAGGGTTTATTAAATACACACACATAAAAGAGCCGAAAACTTCTGGAGGTGCAGGCTAAGCACTTACGTTAATCAACGGACTGGCAGCCTTGTGCCTCTGCTGACAAAGAGACTTATTGCAAAGCGTGGCTGAAAGATTTTTTTTTTAACACTCTCGAGTTTCCTTTAAACATTCCAGAATGATGTGAAAAAAAAGAGAATGGGCTTTGTGAAGAAAAGAAAGGGTTTTGCACATTGCTTTTTTTTTTTTTAAAGCAATAACTAATCTGATGTTCTTCAGGTCACACCCTGCTAATATGACCATATGACTATAGCTTCAATGAGCCAGCACAACTTGGAAACCAGACAGTGAGGTTAGGAAGAGCTGGGGAAATCAGTCACAAATCCTCACCTCAGACTTTACTGTATGTACAGAATGAAGTGAGGGGAAAAAACACAGATGTTTGTCCACAAAATGGGATGGTAGCTGGAATGGTGTTCCAGGAGATCTACAGAGATCCTAATTGATTTGTTCTGTTCATTATCGTTTGCTTAGTGCTGTGGGTTTATCCACCTTGAGGGAGTCTCTGTCCTGAACAACCCCTTTGGGCAGGTGGGCAGTGGAGGATTAAGGCTCACTGGTGTCCTAAGCACTGACAAATCTTGGTACCCACCTCCTTTGTACCTACTGTACAAACGAAGCCATATTCTCAACTTTGTGGTGCCCCCTTTGGGCCTGGTGCCCTAAGCACATGCTTAGTCTGCTTAGTGGTTTATACACCACTGTCGGTGGGCAGATAGGTCTGATCTACCACTGTGCTCTGAATGATGCTAAAGGCTGCTGCTCAAGGAGAAAAATCAAGGGGGTGGAGAGGATATATGTGTGTGTGTGTGTGTGTGTGTGTGTGTGTGTGTAGGAGACTGTGTGTGTGTGTGTGTAGGAGACTGTGTGTGTGTGTGTGTGTATGTATATGTTTTCTTAAGTTTTCGTGGGTACTTACATGTATGGTATTCAGCTTTGTTCGGGTATTTTCCCACGTCATTGTAGTTGTGCTTTTAAAGTTGTAGCAACGTTTCGGCAGAATCTCATCTGCCATCATCAGGCTTCTGTATTGTGTTCGTCTGTTCCAGTACTCCTGTATTGTGTTTCAGACGAACACAATACAGAAGCCTGATGATGGCAGATGAGATTCTGCCGAAACGTTGCTACAGCTTTAAAAGCACAACTATAATGACTTGGGAAAATACCCGAACAAAGCTGAATACCATACACACACACACACATATATAGATATATATATATACACACACACACATACACATACAGTCTCCTCCACCTCCCAATTTGCTCTTTTTAAGGAGATGGGAGTGGCTGATGTCTTTCTCCCTGTATCCTAAGAAAGAAGAAACTAATTCTAATCAGGAAGGGAGGGGGGGAAATCCATCTATGCTCATCACTTCCTTGGCAGACTTCCAGTTGTCCCAAAGAAGTTGCTATGAATGGCAGCAATGCATCCCTGCTAGCTTCTTGTACGTAGCTGAGGGACAGATGTCCAAATATTTCATCTGAACTATTTCTTTCGTGTGTCTCCTAAGGCTGCTTTTGCTACAGGAAAAGTTCCCATTGAATCCTGTTTGCAAGGAGCTTCAAAGAAACCAACTTGCTTTTAGTCCTTGCCTGATCAGAACAAAAAGCTGGTCATTCTGGGCAAGCTTTCGCTTTTGGTGTTATGCCCTGAACAATCTTTGCTTGCCATCCTCCAGGCCTTACTTATCCTTTCTCCAAGAGCTCAAGCTACAGTTCCTTTACCAAGCTGGGCCAAGGTTGAACAGTTCTTCACAGCTTCTAGCTAGTGTCCTCTGGTTGAAAGAAGTCAGCTGCAGTACGTGAGGCTCCAAACAGCATTAAGCCTGTAACTCTGTGGCCTGTTGCAGGCACTTTCAGAGCATTAGCAGGATATTTTGAGGTCAATGCCCTGAGGTCTGATGGGAAGATTTTCTATGGGAGCTTTGCCAGCAGAACTGGCTCAGATGCAATACAACTTCCTAGCTGGAAACATTTGCACAGGACACAAAAACCAAGACATGGATCATCACCAGAGTTTGGCGCCTATGTGTGTGCACTCACGCTCTGCAGAGTCACACCCGTGCATGGGCGTGTAGCATAGGATCTGTGTAGAGAAACGTACTCTCAACAAGTCTCTGTGGATAGCATATTTTCCACATGGAAGGGATTTTGTCTAGGGATATTTTTTTACTTTTTGTTACTTCGAAGCCGCCTTTAATAATTATGCTGCTGGCATATAAGGGATTTCCACACCTCAGCTCAAGTTATGGTCAATTGTTGTACATGTGATTAGTTCTGATTAGACGGGTAAACAAGAGAGTGGAGTGTTGATTGTTCCTCCACTGCTAGACGCATCTGCCCGTATTTTAAGCCCTAGCGAACACTGCATTTTTTCCCCCTGTGGAGAAACAGCCTTTCCAAAACTGGGGTTCTCCCGATATATTGAAGTGCAATTCCTACAAATTCCCAACCAAATTAGAAAATTTTCAGAGAAGACTGAAAATATGTACAATTGATATATCTGCCTTTCGGTTTGAACTGCAGAGCAGTTGCTTGAGTGTTGATCGGGATTATATGAAGTTTTCTGTAATTTAATAAGAGGTTTTCTGCTTACCGCCACCACCACCCCTCAAACTCCTGAAGTTCTCTACTTGATATCGGGTCAACTTCCTCTTGTGTCGAGCTTGTCTTTTGACCTCTCCAACCGGTCCATTGTAATCGTCTGGATTGCAGTATGGAAGTACTGTACGATAGTTTGCCATTGTTTTGTTCTGGAATGTTTCTTAGCTTCCAAATATAGCACGGGGTTCCTTTCAAATGCAAACCAGGTCTGCATCTGCTTAGCTTCCGAACCCAAGCAAGATTTGCCAGCTGCTCCAAATACTTGACCTTGCAGGCTTTTCTTAGGAGGGTGCTGATTTTGGAAACGCTGCCCTCTCTGCCTAGCAAAACTTTTTCACTGTTTAATTAATCAGAGATTCATAAGGGTCCCATTGATCTGATGGCGTGCCCACCTGGTTCTGTGCAGGAACCCAAATTGTCCGCCTTGCTCAATACAGTCTTGCTCTGATTGACAATTAATGGCGATCACGATCCAAAGCGGTGGTCTTTTTCTACCAACCTGAGATTCAGAGGACCGAACTTGGATTTTTAAGGGGAGGACCCACCAGTGAGCCCTTCCTTCAACAA